ACATTCCAGTTCACACATTTTCAATACACAATTTGGACAGAATCTGCAAAAATGCTCATTTCTGTCTTGATTTGCTGGCTTATCTCACAACAGTCCAACAAATTGATCTTTTTACAAAAAGCTTGGCAAATTAAATCAATTTCTACAGGAAAAACGTAAAGTCGAAGCCTTGAAGTGAAGAAAACCGTTTTTTGTACCTCGAAGAGCTTAATGTGATCTGACTTTAAAGCACATAACTCGCACGGGGAATTTATGGGTAAATAGCCTGGTAAATCCGAAACTCGTAAGTTGGTTAACAATGCCCATAAAGCAAAATGTATAACGTAAACGTGAACCGAAAGTCGTGATGGGATAATTATTGGTGCGGACGTGCGCTGGTATCTTTTGAGGGCACTGAGTACTAAACTGCCTCAAATGTTTCCTTTGTCAGATGGATAATGACCGAGAGATTATTATTAGACTATTATTGGAAAATTTAGTAACGCATTTTTTTTAATTTAGATTTTCGATTAAAAAATTACCTTCGAGTCGAACTAGTAGCTTAGAAAAAATGTTTTTACAACAGGGTGCTTGAAAAATAGTCGCACAAACGAGGAGATGCTTTAAGACCAACCGTTCTGAAAACGAAAATACAGGGCTTTAAAGTTTTATTAAGAGCATAAAAAATTCGTAATATTTTCGAAACCGCTTGAGACATTTTAATGAAATTTTGCAGATTCAATATTTTTCTAGGAAAAACTGGTGCGCTCCTGTTTCATGAAAAAACGAACTTTGGCATTTCAATGCCTGTTCAATTCCATACAAAAAAGCGCTTTTGCGTTTTTTTTGCGCAACCAATCGTTTAGGAGGAAAAAAATGAAAAGCGTATTTGAATTTTCAGATCAACAGTTAATTTTTTAGGCTTTGAAATTATTGACGATTGGTTTCATCCAATTGGACTGTTTTATGATGGCACACACAAAAACACTTAAAAAAATACACGTTGATTAAAATAATTATTTCTAAGCTTTTTAATTTTTTTTTGTTAATGCAGGCCAAAGTGACGAGTGAAGAATAAGACTTTCGCTTAAATCTGATCATCCACTGGCCACTCTATTAAAATAAATGGCCAGTGGATGAAGATAATAAGTCTAAAGGATTGGCAGGGAAACTGGACACAATCTAGCGTGTATTCGTGCTTGATCGGTTCTGAAAATGCAAGCTTATTAAATCTGGGTGGTATCGTAGGTCAGGCCATATTACATATAAATTATCGAGATGAGCATGGCTTTTAATATTTATGCCGGCAATAACCGCAATAATTTGACCAATAGTAGACGGTAATTCAAGTGAATTAACTTGGGTGGCATGCCGGTAATTTTCTGTTAAAACATATTTCAGTGTCGTCACATGAGGGATTGGTGATAACGTCGAAAGTTCAAAGAGACTCGATTTATTGGCGCATTGATTAATCCCCTAAAAACACTGAAAATTAAGTGATCGGCACCTTTGGGTTGCGTTGCAACGACGGAAAATTTGTCTTCCAGTTAAAATAGAATTTAGAAACCAGCCTAGTTCTGGCCCTGCCCATTAATACGTGTGAATATGACAACGAAGAGATTAGAATCGACGATTGTCGTCAGATGACTAAGTCGCACATAACTTTTGAAACGCACAATGGCAATCCAGTGTGGGAATTTTTTCGGTTTCACAATCGTTATGTCGGCAAAACACGATTTATTATTTCAATACGCGCACCGTGCCAATAATATCGATATAAACAATGATTAGAATTTCTAATAGATGTAGGTACCGTAAAAGGTGAAAAGAGATATCGGTAATCGAGTTTAACTCGTTTCGATTTGGCTTCTGATGGCAAAATTGCGTCAAACTTGCTTACTCTGTGGCATTTTTCAAACCAACCTGGAAAATATCAAATACTTTACAGAAACCACTTGGGGGATGTTTTACAATGTCATATTCAGGAAAATTTCGTATTGAAAGTTGCTGCTTATAAAACAATATACGAGAAAGTACACACCCACATTCTCTTGATTTCGATAAAACCGACGGACATGCTTTAAAATGCGAAGACCATCTTGCATAACATTATCGAAGTAAAAGAAAGGAATTTGGCGTTTTGCTGTGCATCGAAGTCGGAATATTTGCAAGGCGCGACTCACTTGTTTGTTTTGGCTGAATGTTTCCTTCTTCCCCAAAAAACACCAATGTTACCTCATCGGTCATTTACATGCTTTACACTTTGGCCATGATAAAATTGCTGGCTTTTTCCAGCAGTTGGCCTAGATTATTTATAGCCACGATAATTATCAGCGTTTGAATATTTTGTGATGAAAAAATCAGCCTGTGAACTGAAGACATCCCTATTTTCTACTGCTACAATGGGTACTCGTTCAAGTGAAAGCATAATTACTATGATTTATAATAAATCTTATGAAAATAATCGCAGTAATCATGAGAACGACTTTCGTGGCCATTATGATGTTGCGAATGTTTCATTATTGAAATCTGCAATTTTTCGTTCGGATGCAACCGGGACTCATTGTTCCAGTACCATCAGCTTCTATGTAATCGTGCGCGATTAATTGCTTTGAAGATGTTGCAAAAGGAACGAACATTTTCTGAGAATGCACTTGTTTGGTCCCGGTTTAAAAGAAGCGTCACATCTGTGAAGATGGTAGCCTTGCGTGCTAGAGAAACGTTTCAATCAAATTCCTATTGACCACGATGTAAATTTATATCGTTTATTTGATAACGTTTCGGCGAGACAACAGCGCCATCATCAGATTTAAAATTCATACAAACTCATAATTGGGAAATATTAGATTC